CGGCGCGCGCCGCGGACGGGGCGGATGGGCACGATGTCGACGCCGACGACGAAGGCGCCGGCGGGGGCACGGGCGACGGCCACCTGCATCGAGCCCCCCGGCGCCGCGCAGAGGTCGAGCACGGCGCACGCCGTGGATGGGGCGGATGGGCACGAGGTCGACGCCGACCACGAAGGCGCTGGCGGGGGCACGGGCGACGGCAACCTGCATCCAGCCCCCCGGTGCCGCGCAGAGGTCGAGCACGCCGCGCGTCGGCGGGTGGAACCGGAAACGGTCGTCGAGCTGCTGCAGCTTGAAGGCCGCGCGGCTCCGGTAGCCCTGCTCCTTGGCGAGGTGGTAGTACTCGCCCTGCCGCTGCTTCCCCTTCGCCTTGCCCATGGAGCTCTCGACTTGCATCGGCAGAGATGGCTCGCCGCGCACAAGCTGCTCGACACAATGCTCCATAGAAATAGAGATGGGATGAAGATGACCATGTAGTCAATGACAGGCGGGACCCGCGGCTCATCTGCCACCTCAGCTAGTCAAAGTTTTTTTGTGTGCTTGGTATTTGCCACGTCAGCCCGACAGGCGGGACCCACCTGTCGGATTCGCTGTTTCTGGGCTAAAACGCAGCGTCAGTGCTCCACGTTACAGATTAGCCCCATTGTTGGTGGTTTTTTGTGTCCTGCCTCAAATGTGGTACTGATCTGTTACCCTAGCCCATAATGTGGTGGTTTTGGATAAATAACTCCCCCTCCTCTATCCAGTGATCAAGCCAAAAGTGGGCAGACCTCCCATCTTTTACTCCGAATTTGATAGGGGCAAGCCTCCCCTATCCCGAAGCTAATTCTTTGAATTTGCTCTCTGTGTATACATCATCAAATTGCATAGTAAATGTAGTGGATTTTGATTACTTTCTGATTGTTAGAGGTTGTCTTTTCTACACATTACTTGCAATTACAAAAGATATTTAAAGGCCCGTGGCAAATCACGGGCATTATACTAGTAATCAGTAGTGGGGCAATGAAATAGCAAATACGAGGCCCTTGAACGCACATAACTCACTATTATTCGTAGTAGCAGTGGTCGACTGGTGGTCTATCCTACTACAAAACAAACATTAACGGAGTGAAGGCGCTAATCGTCCTGCAGTCCGTCGAGCACGACGGAGCCGACGAACAGCCCGGCAGCGACGGCCGCGAACAACGTAGCGACGACCGTCTGGACAGTCACCAGCAGGGTGGAGTCGTCCGGCACGAAGACGACCGTGGCGATGGAGGCGACGAGCAGCGGCAGCGACAGCGATGCGAGCACGGCCGGGGACACCGTGGCTGCGCTCTCGACGAGGCTGAGGAGTCCCAGGTCCTCGGCCTTGGAGAGCAGTCCGAGCTTCTCCAGCGAGGAGAGCGTGACGCCGAGCTCCTCCGCCTTGGACAGCAGCCCCGCCTTCTCCACGCTGCTCAGCACCTTGCGCTTCTCCAGCTTCTTGAACACGTCCACCGACGCCTCCTCGCTCCCCTCCGCGAAGATCCCCGCGCCGAACCACTGCTTGGACCACCCATCGTCGTACTTGTTCACCTTCAAGACCAATTTTTAAGATACTACTAGAGCATGCGGTGGAACTGAACATGGACACGAAATTGGATCTTGGCAACAAGAGAATTCACAGAGCTGGGGTCACAAATCCGATTACCTTGTTCTTGGGAGCCATAGCCGTGACCTTGAAGTGCCTTCTCCTTGCGGGGGACGGTAGGCCCCGCTGGGACTGGGACAGACAGGACGAAGAGCACCAGCCGGAGATTGCTGCTGATATTGCAGCCATTTCTCCCTCCTCTTTCCCTGCTCTCTTCTTCCTCTACTGATGCGAAACACTGGTTATTTTTTGACTTGTCTGCTTTCTCGGCTTTTGTTGTACGTAAAACTGGAACGTGGCCGCTGGTTAGCAGCGGCTTATCTTTGGGATGGCCCCGAGGGCCACGAGATACAAGCTGAGCCACAAAAAATGTTATGGGGGGCGATGTGTTACGATGTCAGCGTTGGATCTCCTACCGTCGGTCGTAGAGACACCTCAGCCGTAATTCAGCTTGCCGCCAAGCCATTGAGATGGAAGCGGGGCGAAAACTTTTGCGACGAAAGATGATATGCTAGTTGCAATATATTTAAATCATATTTGGTTATACAAACATTAAAAAAAGAACTAAACAAAAATAATATATGCATATAATGTATAACATTTAATGATTGTATAGATGTAAATTTAGTTGAGTATAAATAGCAGAATGGCTAAACCTTTTTCGTGCATGGTTGTTGGGTTGTTGATGTTTCTAACCCCTCTCCGCCAATCGACTGAGCTCGTTGGCTCACTACCTTCGTAGCACGTGGGTGCAAATCATCATCATGTGCATCGTCGGCTCGCCTCACTGCTTTTCCCGACGCCACTCGCTGGTTTGAAGTTTTTTTCACCTACGGTTGAAGCTTTCTCTGTGAACGGTTGCAACTTTTTCGGTTGTACGGTGGCCCGTTGAGCTTTCTCTCTTGTTGGTTGAACATTTTTTCATCTATGGTCGAAGCTTGTTCGGTCAACTGATGCAACTTTTTTCGTTGAGCAATGCCCCGGTTGAAGCTTTTTCCGGTTGGTTAGTGACCAATTGAAGCTTTCTCTATTGTCGGCCGAAGCTTTTTTGTCAACGGTTGCAATACTGTTTACGGTGGTTCCAGCATCACCTCGCGGTCGTGCGCCAACACTCGCTGCTGGTCGCTGCACAAAGGAGCCTGCAGTCCCAGCATGTCGAGTCTCCATTCCAGCACCCGTCCGTCACCGTTGCAGCATGTGTCCCCAACGCCGTTGTAGCTCGTGTGTGCTAGAGGTGAGGGTTTCCCGAGAGAGGGAGAGGAAAGGAGGCGCTTGTTGTGGTTGTTTATCTGCCCGCGGTGACTCGCCCTAACAACAGGTGGCGGTGGTTGGCCTGCAGCAGCAGCGTCGCCCAACACATCCCCGACGGGTTTGAAGATCGAGGAGTGGAGCGGCAGCGAGCAGCAAGTCTCGGAAAAATGGAGAATGAGCTGTGCTTATGGAGCGAAAGGTTAGGGAAGAAGATAAGGCTGGGAAAAAAGAAAGCAAAGGGCAACACACGACTGGGTGGAATCCGACGTCGTTCATGCGACCGACACGTGCTTCGGTCAGTCGGCCGGATAGAAACATTAGCCTTTACGTTTTCTTCTAGCGACCGTTCCCTCCAACATGAACGAAACAACAAACTGTTTTTTTTTCTATTTTGTTTGATGTTCCTCTTGCCTTTTTTGTTTTTATTTTTAATGTGATACATGAACATCTTTTTTTAACCTATGACCATTTCATAAAAAGACATGAACCTATAGTCGATATGTGCGTATATATGAACAATTATTTTTCTAACAAGACTTTGGAAAACTATATAAACATTTGCTGATAAATACACATTCATTTTTTAAATACGCAAGCACTTTTTTGAAAATTACATGAACACGTTTCTTACAAGGGTGAACATCTTCCTGAAATTACATGAACATTTAAAAAATGCATTTGTACATTTTTTTATTGCATGAATTGTTTGTAGATCTGTGAACACTTTAAAAATAATATGCGTTGTGTATTAAGAAAATGTTTGCGACACATTTTAAAACTGATCATCGTGTATTTAAAAGCCATTCATTATGTGAATAAAAATTACTTATATTATAATTTAAAATCTTTTATCATATATTGGAAAATGGTCACTGTGTATTCATAAAATGTTCACCATGTAATAAATATGGTCATCATGACTTAAAAAGGTCAAATAAAATAAAGATAAAAATTAATATTATAAATTTAAAATAAACAATGAGTAGTCTATACATACATGACAAATATTTTAGTACAATGATGATTTTTGTTTGAAAAAATAATCATTTTTTTAATAAACGATTTATATTTTCAGATACACGATGAAAAAATAACATACGATAATTTTTGTAGAAAAGGATCACATTTTTCAAATAAACGCTAAATAATGCGATCAATCTTCTTAAGGTACATGAGTGCCAAATATGGTTGTGATTGAATGTCAAATACGATTGTAATTGTCCAAGGGAGCAACTAGAGGGTACCCTCTGGCTTGGGCTTTTAGCGGTCCCTCCAGGGACGCACAGACCGCTGCCAAATGGTGCGTCCAGCCACCAAGCCACCATCACGTGTCACGCGTTAGATTAAAAAAGATGTGTCGTGCACCGGGTACAAATAAGGGAGCACAATTTTTTTATTTTTTTCTGCATGAGTTGTTAAGTAGTTGGGTGTTCAGATTTTGCTTGCTTTTTACTAGCTTTTTAAAAGTGTTTTCCCCTTTTTTTTACGGTGGTTTCCTGTTTTCTACGCGTGGAGAACATCGTGTGAAAAGCATAGCTATATGCTTCATGACGAATCATAGTTGTGCTTCCGCATGAAACATAGTTGTGCTTCTCAAAAAGTAAAAAGCACCGTTGTACTTCACGGTGAAGCACAACTGCACTTCCCACAACCCTGCTTGCCGAAAAATGAAAATCACGGTTGTGTTCTCGGTGAAACACAACTCTACTTTCCGAATATGAAAAATGCACAAATGTGCTTTCGTGTGAAGCACAATTATGCTTTTGTTTTTCTTTCTGGATTTTTTGCTTTTTGTTTTTTTGGTTTCTAATTTTGTTTTGTTTTCTTTTTTAGTTTCATTTTTTTATTTTTTATTTTTTCGGTTCTCGGTTTTTGGGAAAAAAGAGAGTTTCATCCAAACCTATTGACATGAGATCAAGTTCTAAAAATCTTGACGCGAAAAACGCAACATTGAAAACAATTCATTATTTGGACGCACGATTTAAGAGATAAAATGTTTTTAAAAATAAATATAAAAAACATAAAACCCATAGGTCATGGCAAGTGTCGTGCATACGGAGAAGTTTTTTCTAAAGGTAACCACAAAGGAGATTTTTTTAGGGATAACCACAAAGGAGATGAGAGTGGTCTGGGTAGATTTGGACTGCTCGTTCCCGCAAAAAAGAAGAAAAAAGATTTCGATTACGGGTTCAGCGCTCGCTAGCCGGGCGGCCCGGGCCTCGTGCCTTGTCAATTACGGGCCGTTGACGTCGGTCCTCGTGCCCAGAAAAATCCCGGCCGAGTCCCCCAACTCCCACCACCTCCTCCACACCTCTCTCTCTCTGGTCTCGCTCTCCTCGCTCCTCGCTCTCCTCCGGCGCGGCCGCGCGAAGCGTCCGCCGCCGCTGCTTCTGCTGCCGGTCGGGGACGATGAGGGCATGGAATTACGTGGTGACGGCGCACAAGCCCACTGCCGTCTCCCACTCCTGCGTCGGCAACTTCACCGCGCCCCACCAACTCAACCTCATCGTCGCGTAAGCACCACCAATGCATTTCTCCTTCTCCGCGCATTCCCTGCTCTTCCGGTTTCGGCGGTCGCGAA